AGTCACTACTACATGACAACATATAGGTAACGTTTTCCCTGTGCTTAATTAAGCACCACGCCATGAAGGCGTATGGTGGAGTGGATGTATACATCCATATTTTTTTGACCTCAGCACTAGTTGGAGGTGTGTGGTTAGCTTCATGCACCGACAGCTTTACCCAGGGGGGGAAGAGCCCCCGGTACCCGTTGGATAGGAGGTTGGGTGGACCCCAGTACCGGTCAGGACGACATGGAGAAAATTGACCCCACCGGGACTCGAACTCCGACGCCTTGGTCGTTCATCCCGTAGTCAGTCGCTACGCTATCCCGTCTCATATATACACAGAGACACACAATAGGCATATACTCTTATATACACGAGCTTGTATGTGCGTGAGCGCTACAGTATGTAACCGGACTCTCTTCTCAACCGCCGACAAATAAGCAGGCATGGTTTGTACGCAATTGCCATCACGGAGTGTTAATCCTACACACTCATGACAGCCGAGTGTATCCATGTTCGCCAGCAGACCCACTAAACCACGGCCGCTGCTGCTTCATAATGAATTAACTAGACGCCTTAGGGTCAAACACAGTCACTCACAGCTAGCAGAACCAGAGAGTCCCTGACCATGTCCCTCCCCACGGCGCTACATTTCACGTAGACGTTAAAGCACCTATCTCGTGCTTCTAAGTGTCCCTTATCACCACCTGTCACCTACCCGAACTGCACGCCCAGCCCATCCTAACTCGCTACTCGCTTACGTGCTCCACCTGGTACAAATAATTTCCTTGCAATTTATACAGAACTGAGGTTCGATCCCTGGTCTGGTCAAGTGGGATTTATGGTGGACAAAGTGGCGCTGGGGCAGGTTTTCTCCGAGTACTTCGGTTTCCCCTGCTAATCTTCTTTCCACCAATTGCTCCACAATCATCCTCACCGATCATCTGGGGCTGGTGCAATAGGCCAGAAGTGGCCGCGGTACAAGGGACTTAGACCCACCCCACTTGCAATATAAGAAATATATATATAGAGAGAGAACTAAGGTTCTCACAGCGGTGGTAATGAACAGTTCTTGCCGTGTAGTCCGTTAAAGTCAGCGAACGTTTCGGAGGAACATGTCACCTCTATCTTCAAGGGTAGAATAATAGCCACGCAAGAAACTAGCCTGAAGCAAGTAACAGAACTTCTTGATTTCTTGCTTGGCTTGCTCTTCGACCCTCATGATGGCGACATATTCCTCCGAAACGTCGGCTGATAACTTTCAACGGATAACAGACAGAACACTTCTATACAATTTATGTTCTTGCATCAGAGTAAGAAATCGCGTCACTGTTTCTTGTATATTTTTTTTATTGCTAGTGGGGTGGGACTAAGTCCCTTGTACTGCAGCCACTTCTGGCCTATTGTACCAGCCCCAGATGATAGGTTAGGGTGATTGTGGAGCAATTGGTGGCATGAAGATCGGCAGGGGAAACCGAAGTACTNGAGGAGCTGCAACTCCTCCCCGCGACTGCATCCGTTCTGCGGTGGTATGACTCACGGCAAATTGCAGCCGCGGCGCGCACTTGATTGTACGCACTGTATAACTCATGGCAGTAGGATATATGCATTTCTGGTCAGCCCTGGAGTGCACGAACACATGGCCCGCATTTTACTGGGAGACTGTAAACTTGATATAGTCCTGCAGGATTTAATAGTTCCCTGAACTTCACACTTAACGGCTGTTCCGTTTATAAAAGATAAAGTGTGCCATTTCTATTTCACACACAGGCGCCCCTATTCACAAGTAGAAGAGGGGCCCTTGTTGAACGGTACCCGCACCGCGCCCTCCGGAAGGCGTGACCTACAGCTTGTAAACACAGGAAACTGTAACAGGTACAAACAAAATGGCACTACAACCGTGGTTCCATATGAGACACACAGCAAAAGCCCAACTTAACTGAATTTGCTTTCACCGCATCATTTATCTAAAAACAAGAAGGTCTGGGAAGAACTAATAGCCTACTTTCACTTCACTGTAATTCGAGCATCTGCTACGACAAGCAGACAAGAATAACTTCAGGGTGTATGCGCAATGAGGGCAACAAAACAAACGGTCGGGGAGACTTCGGTGTTCGTATTTAGCGCCTACAGCTTCTGCTACACACGTTGCTAGGTAACGGGCGGTAAACAGGTCAACAGTACCGGGACCATCACTAGGCAACTGCTCGGTAAACGGGTTCCCGCGGCAACGGTCGAGGTACTGTTGGGCTATAACAATGAAAACGATCTTCACTGTCTGCATCCTGTTGTGTTATCACGATTGTCCGTATTTGGCATAGAACTTTACATTCAACGACACGAGAACTTTAAATAATTGAAAATTTGGAAAGTTTTAAAATTAGAAAAATTCTTGCAACTTCGTGGTGGTGGCGAGTACACTAATATTGATCCGCAAGAGATGTATTTGATGCGACTGCCTGAAGATGGTCCCATCCGCGAACCGAAACGTGTAGCAACTATCAAATAAAACCAATGTGCGCAGTTCGATTGGTTTATTTTTATTTTTACTGCTGTGTTGATGGCCACACACCACCAACTGAAAAGGTGTTTTCTATGTGGTTCGAGCCGAAATTTTATAAGCAGGATCAGTCGAGTTCGGGAGTTGAAGTTGTCAGCAGTTCAGTAGAGCGATGTGACGTGAGTGAGAGAGTTCAGTTGCAGTTCAGCTAAAAGTCAGCTTGCACAGACTAGGAGACAGCAAGACGATCTCGCAAGACTTCTATTTATTCCTTTTTCCAAAGCGAGGGAAGTAGAATTAACACGGCTGTAGCCGAAGCTTCCAGTGATTATCACGTGATGACACATTCACCCCGCCCATGTGTACTTATGAGGATGTCAGTCGATATGGAATTCCGTATCTCTTTTGTTCTGTTTCTTTGCGACCGGTAAAGCACTGAACGGTAGGATCGCTGGTGAATAACACGTTCGAAAGGATCGGAAATAAAGCAAGCTGCTGTGGACTAATCGAGTTCGAGGGGCTGAGGAAACCATGAAGAACTCGTTACGACAGCCTGTGACCGGGCCGAGATTCAAACCGAATGGTACAGACACCAAACTACTACTACTACTACTAATAATAATAATAATAATAATAATAATAAATTATATTAATTCTTTATTTGCGTGCTACCTCAACAGCCCAAAGGTCAAATAATAATACATTTAATAAACAATTTGTGAGGATGTGATCTGAACTGAACTGCATAGGAAGGTGTGTTCAACCGAAGGGCTGATGTCCAATTACCGAACCTCGAGATGTCACACCCCAGAAACGCCACAATATGGTTACTCGTAACTTGGTGGCCTTGCTGAACACTGTCACCATGACGCTGAAATCACAGTTCCTCAGCGAAACCGACTGTACTCCCACTATTTACCGAACTCTGCAAATATTTGTCGCTTCGTGTAGCATCAGTATGCAACTATTGATATCCACTGGAATTACAGACGCCTGTTCGTTAACCCAGCCCTTTGTTTCACTGCTGAGGCCGTGTGGGTTCTCACGAAAACACTGCTTTCCCAGTCGAGAAGAAAACAATAAGTTCTGGGAGGAACTAACTGCCTACTTTAATATCTGATGCGGAAAGTAGCGTAGCCCTATGTGATGAAGTCAAACAATACAATCTGAGAGGCTTCAGTGTGGCTACAATTTACGAAGTACGCAGCTGAAACGGCCTCAGGTGGCATGACATACATACCACGTTCATGAAGACCGGCTCAAGCATTCAAGTAATGCTAAGGTTGTGGCCGCGCCACAGCTCAAACGGTTAGTCGCTGCCTTTCCACCGCAGCGGCCCGGGTACGATCCTGAGTCTGGTCAAGTGGGATTTGTGGTGGACAAAGTGGAGCTGGGGCAGGTTTTCTCCGAGTACTTCGGTTTTCCCTGCTAATCCTCGTTCCACCAATTGCTCCACAATCACCCTCACCTAACATCTGGGGCTGGTACAATAGGCCAGACGTGGCCGCAGTACAAGGGACCTAGTCCCACCCCACTAGCAATAAAAAAATGCTAAGGTTACTACCTCAACAATCTGAAAGGCTCTAATGTTGGTATTACTGGCTGGATGGGTTTATGAGGTATACGCTGAGATGGCTTCAGGTGATATGTATGGCATACATACCAAGTTTCGTGAAGATCGGTTCAGGCATTCAAGAGTTGTTAGGGGACACACATATACAACACAGTGATCTCATAAGCCCACTTTCCTCTTTCTCAAAGTAAGGAAAGTGGACTAAAAACCGGTGCAACGACCCTGCACATATTGTCTCATATACGAAAGACTTTCACTGCGATACGCCACTGCTGACTGCTGGATACAGGACAACAATGAAATCCATCTCACCGGAAAGCCGGTTCACACACAATCTACATTTTGCATTTGGACCCCTAATCAGAGTTCCGTTAGGAGATGGTCTCCATAAATAAACTAAATTTAATCAAAACTGTTACAGCAGTCCTTATGAAAATTAACATTTTGTGCGCACTGTCACAGAAGTCTCACAGATACAGCCTATAGGGCATACAGTGGGCTGCGCTTGCTGTGATGGCAACAGCTGATTCAAAAAGCAAATTAAGTAACGCTTAACTAACTACCAGGCCACGACGACGTATGGGGGGGCGAGGTACAGCAGCAAGTATTCCCAACATCAGCATCAGATGGAGATGAATGGTCAGCCTAACCACTCGGCCATTTAATCCCCAAGAAGAGATTAAGATCAAATTAAACTGCTTCAATGTTTAATCAAATTCAACCCTGAATATTGTTATTGCTTCGCTGATATTACACAACTGTGGCGGATGTTCCTACATTTCTTTCTTCCTAACATTCAACCGAAACGTCCCCTAAATGTTCTGAGACAGACGGAGCACGAGCAAGTTTATGCTGTATATATATTACATCCAGTACTGTTCGCCACTATATCGCATCGAGTTATCGATATTAACTGGCCTCCCCACTTTCCTTTGCACTTACCTACGCTTTTCGTTTTGTTGCATATTCCTGCCGAAAATTCTTTGCTACGATCGGAGCTTTGGCACCTTTCGTAATCTTCAGGACACTCACCTGAAACATAAACAACATAAACATAACATACACATACAAGGTCATGAAGAGCGTGCAGTGTTAGGACCCCCATACACACACAGTTTGGCCTCCAGTTCGGCCTGCACAGTTGAAGACTGAAAGGTAAAACTGACGTCAGTGCTGCGGCCGGCCGGCCAATCGTTTGGACTGTTGGCCTGTGGGAAACCCGTCAGTCCGTCAGTTCTGCCTGCAGGACCGTAGCACGTGACGTGTGTGACTCAACATTATAGGCTGGAAGACCGTGATTGTGGCATGAAGCCTGCCGCTTTATCTGCGCGTGTATGGGGAGGAAAGGGAGGGGGTAAACTGTCGCAGTTTTGCCTGTAAGGTCGATCGGAAGGCCAAACTGTGTGTGTATGGGGGCCCTTAGGGCGGCCGCACACCAACTGCGTCAAGACATGAGACAAAAGACGCGGTTTTTCTTCATTCGTGATTAGTCAGAATCATGACTCAGACCGGTGTGCGACGGTTTTCATAATCTCATTCGTTTCAACTGTGCTCCTTGTGTCTTGACTGTGAAGGCGCGTCCACATTACTCGCGAGCATAGCGAGTCACACGAGCACGAGTAATGTGGACGCGCCTTAACACATCTTGACGTATGCCGGTGTGCGGCCTACCTTACTCTTGGGAAAACCTGTTGCGTACCATGACTGAAAGAAGTTTCTATTCAATTATTTGACTGTAATAACATGCCGACTGAGACTTCGAAGTCCGAAACACAGTCGTCACCACACAACTGTGGTTTCTACTCGTTGTCACACCTTGATGTAGCTGGGGGGGGGGCAGACAAGCAAACAAACTACATGAAGCAAAGTCCTTGAGAAGCCAACAACCGCTAAGCTACTTACGAATTTCCCAACATTTTACGCAAACAGAAGGTTCATTACCTGCCACTTGTCTCAGGCACATGGAGCCAGTCCACACACCCCATTACGTTCCCATCTACGTCTAGGTTTCCCTAGTGATGTTTTTCCTTTAATATGTACTCCGGTCCCATGCGAGCTACATGCCCTGCTAATCTCCTCCTTGGCTTCACCATTCTAACTGTGCAAATTTCTGTAGCCTCCTATTGCGTCATCTCTCTTGGGGGCCACCCTGTTCTCAAACACTCTCCAGTCTATGTTAATGTCAGAAACCAAGTTTCACACCAATACAAAACCACGCAACGGTAATGGGGTGTAATTAACAGTGAGTTACATTTTCTAAGAAAAGAACTTCGTATATTGTTGTGCCCCTGGGGTGGGGCCGGGATAGTGTAGTCGGTATAGAGACTGGCTACGAGCCGGAGTTCGAGTCCCGGTAGGGTTAAGAATTTTCTCTTCTCCACTTCGTCCAGACCGGTTCTGGGGCTCACTCAGGCTCCTATCCAATGGGTACGGGGGGCTCTGTCCCCGGGGGTAAAGCGGCCGGGCGTGAAGCTGACCACTCACCTCCAATTAGTGCCGAAGTCAAGGAAACGTACATCTATGCATTTCACTCCTTTATGGCATAGTGTTTAATTACTTAAGCACAGGGGCAACTTCTTTTTTCAATTTCCATATTCACCCCTACTGGGAGGCCGGTGCCAGTGGGGCAAGTGCTCTCTCAAAGGAGGGGAAAAGGGCGCCAAATAAGGCCACCTCACAATTAATGAAATATTATTAATCTAATAAGGCGGTTAATTGGCGCAATGTCTGACAAGCCGACCGAGACCCTCAAAACCAGTGACCCACTTACAGGCAAGCTTACTCACACGTACTGAAGAGCATGACGAGGCAAAATGGCGCCATCCCGTCTCCTTGCGACACAGCAAGACCTCCTCCCAGAATGTTTATGCCGTGTGCTAACTAAGTTCTTACAGACGCCCAAGAAAACGCCCTAAAATCGGCGATTCGCATTGGTTACTGTCCTTCCGTTCCTGAAACCTGCACACATACGGATCGCCACGTCCGCGGTTTTGTATCTTTTTGGGTCACGAAACGCAGCTTTAAACGAAAGAATGAAGGATGTGAGGCACCAGAGTCCTACCTCATTTCCGGTTCCGGTCACTGCAACCTAGTCCATTCAAATATTCGTACAATTTATAATAACTTTCCACTAAACCGGCACTCTTTTATTTGGCACTGTGTGCCATGGCAATGTTTTCATGTGAGTACGCGAAGTGCAAAGCTAAATGCGCTCCTCCAACTACTGCAGTTCAGTTCGCATCGATCTGATCAGCAGCTTTACAGGGTTCCCGCTCTAAGTCACATGAAAGGTTGGCGACCCTTGGCTTAGGGTAGCAATGTTACAACGAAGTGCGCAGGCCTGTCAGAACAGCGAAGGTGAAAGATCTCACTCAACTCAAACGCGAAGCACGGAGCACGGCGTCGGAGGGAAACTGTCACGTGACACACTAAACGATAAACATGCGTTAATGTTTTCTTTGTACAAAGCGTCATGAATTTTGCCTACGATTCATGAAATCTCCGAACATAACCCCACCAGCGGACATCTGTTCGTTTGCTGAACTGCAAAAGTAACTCGTGGAATTCAGGAAACGTGCCAATACAAAAGCCAGCTTTACCCTTCTGAAAACACTGGGCCACATAAGCTTTGTATGCAAACATTTTTACTGGATTTGCTACACTCAGCAAATTAGTTAGGCCAATTAAAATACGGTAAAGTTAAAGATATACTTAGCCGGTCCAAACAGTCGAGTGGTCTAAGGCATGCACTGTCTTCGCTCGCTCGGAAGCCGGGATCGTGGGTTCGAAACCCATTCAGGTCATGCATGTTCGGTGTTTGTGTTTGTGTTTGTGTGTGTGTGTGTGTGTGTGTGTATGTGCGCTTTTCTGTGTTTAAGTACAGCTAGAGTCTCAACTCGCTGAGACTTCATAACGGGGGGAAGTTTCTAGAACTGCTGAACAAATTCAGCTCTATCAGCCATACGTACTGCTATAGCAGTTCTGCACATAGAACATGCACGCATTTGTGTGTAGCCCCCACCCTCCCATCTAACCATAACATGTACGAAAGGAGTACAGGAATTCATACGTAGAGTATACAACGAATCTATGTTCACTTTTCGGCACCAAATCATGAATATGGATTACAGATTCGTTACAATTTCCAACTGTAAATACAAATTGGGCCGGTCACGGTACTCGAGCGGTCTAAGGCGTGCACTATCTATCTTTGCTCGCTCGGAAGCCGGAATCGTGGGTTCGAATCCCACTCAGGGCATGGATGTTTCTGTGCGTTTTTCTGTGTTTGTGTACAGGTAGAGGCCTTGCGACGAGCTGATCACCCGCCCAAGAAGTCCTACCGTATGTGTAGGATCTAGAAAAACCGAAGTAAACGGAGAAGTTCATGGAGGTAGGCCTAGGCCCACTGGGGCTGTAGCGCCAAGAAAACAAAAATACAAACTGGAAACATGAAAATTTGATGTCAACGGAATGTAAAGGCGGTTAGTTGCGGGACGCTACAGGATGCGCTGGCAGGAGTTCAAGACATGGGGCGAGCCTTCAAGTAGCACGCAATCTGCATTCACAGCACACACACTGCTACAAGGAGTTACCAAGGCAGTTACCAACCGAGGGCAATAATAATGCCTACAGCGGTACTGGTAGAAACAGGCACACGGGCTGAACTCAGGGCCCAGACGCTGTGTCTGCAGACCAGTCTCGTTCTGAACTGTGTGCCTTCACATGTCTGCACTAACATTGCTGAATTCAGGGCCCAGACACTGTGTCTGCAGACCAGTCTCATTCTGAACTGTGTGCCTCCACATGTCTGCACTAACATTGCTGAACTCAGGGCCCAGACGCTGTGTCTGGAGACCAGTCTCATTCTGAACTGTGTGCCTCCACATGTCTGCACTAACATTGCTGAACTCAGGGCCCAGACGCTGTGTCTGGAGACCAGTCTCATTCTGAACTGTGTGCCTCCACATGTCTGCACTAACATTGCTGAACTCAGGGCCCAGACGCTGTGTCTGGAGACCAGTCTCATTCTGAACTGTGCGCCTCCACATGTCTGCACTAACATTGCCGATAACGTGCCTAAGGGGACTATACTGCTCAAACTATACTCATATTCAGGTAAGTTCAGCGGTCTAGTGGTACAGGTACAAGTTAACCCTGTGCTCAACGTCATGAAGGCGCGTGGGGAAGTGGATGTCAGCTTCACGCCCCGGCCGCTCTATCCCCAGGGAAAGGGCACTTGGTACGCATTGGATAGGAGGCTGTGTGCGATTTGGAAAAAAATAAAATTCTTGACCCTATCGGGACGCGAACTCCGACTACGCTACCACGGCTCCTCGCGGTCTACTGGTACGCGTACTAATTTCGTATTTAGAAGGGTATTGCTTCGATCCCAACCATCAACACTAATACAAAAAAAGTACCCGACAGCTTTCATATAATTACAATGGCGAACAGAACCAACGCTGGGTATACCGAATACAGGCTTGCCTCACGCGATCTTCACACATGATATTAGCATAATCCATCGGCCAGAGTCACGAACCTTCACAGAAAGAACCATACAGTTAACTGCATGGTATGGTATTCCTTGGGCAAAAGGCTGCAATTCAAACGAAGCACCACCACTGCAATGCATCCCGAGCTGGTTCAGTGCGTTGCATGCCGCACGGTTAACGCCTCGCCCCATGAGTAACTGGGTCTCCGAGGTTGTCCAACGCAACTCGTGTGTGCTTATCATTATGGGGCACATGTTCCCACTCCACGAGTCGGGATAGCGACTGGCTACTGGCTGGGCGCCCGAGAGGCCAGAGTTCGAGTATCGGTAGGTTCAAGAATGTTTTCCTCTCCACATCAAGACCGACTCTGGGGTCAACCTAACCTCCTATCCAACAGGTACCGGGGGTAAAGCGGCCGGGGAGTCAAGCTAACAATTCAGCTCCAACTAGTGCCGAGATAAAGAAAAAGTGGATGTATATATTGACTCCCACATAAGCCTTCATGCCGTAGTGCTTAATTAGCTAAACATAGGGACA